CCTGGATCGCGGCACCGATGGCAACCGCCTCGTCGGGGTTCACACCCTTGCACGGCTCGCGCTTGAAGATGTCCTTGACGGTCTCGACGACCTTGGGCATACGCGTCATACCACCGACCATGATGACCTCGTCGACGTCGTTCGCCTTGACGCCGGCGTCGGCGAGCGCCTTCCGGCACGGCTCCACGGTGCGCTGCACGAGCTTGCTCGTCCAGCCGTCGAGCTGCGCACGCGTGATCTTGACGTTGATGTGCTTGGGGCCCGAGGCGTCGGCGGTGATGTAGGGCAGCGACACGTCGGTCGACTGCGTGCTCGACAGCTCGATCTTGGCCTTCTCAGCGGCCTCACGGATACGCTGGATCGCCATGCGGTCCTTGCTCAGGTCGATGCCCGTCTCCTTCTGGAAGTCGCGCACGAGCTGCTCGACGACGACAATGTCAAAGTCCTCGCCACCCAGGTGCGTGTCACCGTTGGTCGACTTGACCTCGAACACGCCCTTGCTCATCTCGAGAATCGACACATCGAACGTGCCACCACCCAGGTCAAACACGGCGATCGTCGCGTTGTCCTGGCGGTCAAGACCGTAGGCGAGCGCCGCAGCGGTCGGCTCGTTGATCACACGCAGCACCTCCATGCCGGCGATCGTACCGCAGTCCTTGGTCGCCTGGCGCTGCGAGTCGTTGAAGTAGGCAGGCACGGTAATCACGGCGTGCTTCACGTTCTTGCCCAGGTAGCCGGCAGCGGTCTCCTTGAGCTTGCCGACGATGAACGCACCGATCTGCGAGGGGGAGTACGCCTTGCCGCGCGCCTCGACCCACGCATCGCCGTTCGAGTGCGCCACAATCTTGTAGGGGACGTTGTTGATGTCCTTCTGCACCTCGGGGTCGGTGAACTTGCGGCCGATCAGACGCTTGGTCGCGAACAGCGTGTTCTCGGGGTTCACCACCGCCTGGCGTTTGGCAGGGAGACCGACGAGGCGCTCGTTGTCCTTGCTGAACGCCACGACGGACGGCGTGGTGCGGCCACCCTCAGAGTTCTCCAGGACACGCGCCTGCTGACCCTCCATGGTCGCAACACACGAGTTGGTGGTACCCAGGTCGATACCGATCACGGGGCCCGACACCTTGCCAGAGTTGAAACGGACGCCGGCCTTGGGCAGGCCGGCCACAGCGCCGGTGCGCAGCGACTGCGAGAGCAGCCTGCCGGACGACGGCGCCGAGTACATACCACGGGAAAGTGCTCCAAACATGCTCGATGGGATGTACTTCGGTGGGAAGAACGGGTGGCAAACGCTTCGGCCGCAGCTTCTTGTAGCCGTGCGTGGCTTTCTTCTTCCGCCGCGCCTGCAGCGGCCACGCGCGTTCGGCGGGCTTCGGCGGTCTTCGGTTCGTCACGTGGTCATGTGGAGGCGTGCGCACGCGCCACCCCTCCACGCGCACGCACCGCGCGCACGTCCACGGCCTGGGCCGCGGCGCCGGCACGGGGGTGGGGGGGTTGACATGTATGTATATACGCTAGGGCGCCGTGTCCTACGTAGAGTTCTTTTGAGCATATGCATCCCAGATCGCAAGCAGCTGCGCACCGACGTTCGGCTCGAGCTCGGTGCCGTCGCGCGACACCTTCACTAGGCGGTTGTCGCGCCAGGGATTCCGCAACGTCTGAATCTCATGAAAGGGCAGCGGCTTGGTGGTTTTCCAGCGGATGTAGAAGGGACGCCCAAGCTGCGACGTGGAATCGTGTATGGTTTCCAGGGCGCTGCCAGACGAGGCGCCTGGCTGGGACTGGGATGGGGACAAGGTGGAGCCACTTTCGGGTGTGGGCACGGACCGCTCCGCGGGAGGCGTCAAGGTCGCGTCGCCTACGCCGGTTGGTGCGTCCTGAGATGCGGGTTCGTCCGCGCTGAGCAGATCGAGTTGGCGGTTGTGCCGCGTGGCGCTCGCAGCCAACTCTTCAAATTCTTCCTGTTCCTGCATGACCGGCAGGGCAGCTGCCGATGCCGAGGACACCGTCGAGGACGCCGAGTTTTCGTTATTGACGGCAAAGGCCTCGCTCGCGGCCTCCCAACTGCCGTCATCGCGCCCGGGCGAGGGGATCAGCATAGCAGACGCAACCGACTTGTCCAGGTCGTCGTCAGCCGTACGCGCTAGGCGCTCCGCGTTGGGCATCGCACCGCCAATTCGGCTCGACATGGTCGCATACCCAAAGAATTGGCCGCTAAAGTTTTCGCTGAACAGCAGCGTGACAACGCTCGAATTGCGGAATGCCTGGTCCAGCACCCCTTCGTTGTGTGGCTGCGTGCTCCAGACGTTCGTCCGCAAAGCTGTCGCGAGCGCCTCGGCACTGCGCGATTTGAGGATGAAGTAGCGATGCTCAAACAGCGGCTGGCGCAGCAGCGACGAGTTGGTCGATGCAAACGAGCGCGAGTCGCTGTCGTTCGCACTGTCGCGCACGTCGCCAGACGCACGCGCTTCGAGCGAGTCGTCGGCCTCGTGCTGCTCGCGCTGCTGCTCGCGCTGTTGGCGGTACCAGTTGGTGTGCACACCCTTGCCCCGCTGCGCAGCGACGCCCGCATACTCGACATCCTCCACACGCCGCGGGCGACACACGAGGCGCGGGCATCCTGGGCGCGTACGCAGCGGCTTTCCGTGGAAGTAGGCACACGCACGCTCCAAGCTCGCATCCGACACGTAGTTGACAAACGCACAGTTGGAGCGCGACATGATAAAGATCGACAGGATGCCCGCATTCCGGTCCGGCATGTCCGAGGGGGCGCCAGCATCGGCCGGTGCCCTCCGCGGCATACCTTCGGACGACGTATCGGGCGAGGCATCGGCATGTGGCACGGTAAAGTCGGTGGGGATCTGTGCAAAGAACCGCCAAAGTTCGTCGAGCGTCGCGTCCGACGGCACGTTGCCGCACCACATGACATAGTTGGAGCGCCGGCCCTGTACCTGGTCCTCGGACACGGGCCCAATCAGCACGGCGGCGCCCGCATCCACATCGGCTGGCGGCGTGTCAGGGGAGGCAGATGACGCCGGGGCTTCACTCGCCTCGGTGGCTGCCGTAGCAGGCACCGTAGCAGGCACCGCAGCAGGCACCGCAGCAGGCACCGCAGCAGATGCCGTGGCAGATTCTGCAATTGGTGCCGTGGCAGGCGCCGCTTCTGCGCACGCAGAGCCCGTATTGCCAGGAGGCGAAACGGCGGGCGGCACGCTCAGCGGACCTGCATCTCTGCCTGTCGCTACACTGTCGCGCGCCGGTTCTCTCTTGGTAGGCGTGCGCGCTACGCCGCTGTCGCGGCGGTTCATCCCGCGGCGGCTACGCGTCTGGACGGATGGGGCTGACGAGCGGCGGTGCTGCAGAACACCGTACGGCACCGACGTGCTAGGCACGGCACTGGGCGCAAACCCTGGCGCCATGGTTACATATTGGCCCATTGCCGATGCGGGAGGCATCATGTTGGCGGTGTAGCCGTAGTACGATGCCGCCCCGGCGTCGCCATAGGTGTATGGTGCGTACGCCGGAGCATGCGGCAGGGGGCCAGCATACCCTCCCGGATGCCCGAGGTATAGTGGCTTGGCATGCGTATGCGTATCGTACATGGAGGGAAACACAGGCCCCGGTGTCGGCATTGAACTCGGCGGGGGCGCCGCATATCCCGTGTCGTGTGCCACAGGGTTGGCCATGTCGGAGGATATGCCATGCGGCATGCCGGGGGAATAAGGGTACGTGCACATGCCCGGGTAGAAGTAAGGACGATGGTATAATGGCATCGAGTACGACATTGCCATCGGCACCGGGTGCGGAGGCGGCACTGCCCCCTCGGCCGCACCGGTCGGTGGCTCGTGGTCCTCGCCTCGTACATACGGCGCAGCGTCGGGCACGTACGGTGTCATGTATGCCATCGAACCGTCCGGTGCAACATAGCTGTAGTAATAATAGCGCATCATCGACGTCGGGTCCCCGCTCTGTGCTTGAGGTGTATAAAGCTCCATGGCGGGGTTCGGCGGTGCCTGGGGAAGGTTATGATACACATTCACACCGCTCGTTGTATGAGCCATGGATGCATGGTGTGTTACCGAGGATGGGTCAGATTGGTTTGGGTCTTGCGCCGGATGCGCGGTGGAGCCCAAGGCGTCGGGGACCATCAGCGGCTGCTCGCCCGGGGCTGAGCGCGCCGCGTTGGGTGTCGGGTTGGCTTCCTTGTTTGCATCGTGCACGACGCCGTGGTCGCGAGCAGTAGTGGGATCGGCATCTGTATGTGTTAGTCTCGCCCTTCTCCCGGTACCGTGCACACACCTAGAAGAACCGTCGGAGAAGCAGCACGCGTGTATTGTGCTGCATCACCGTTGTTGACATCGGACTCTGATTTCACCTCACTCGCCTTATGCATACGACGATAAACACGTTTTCAAGGAGCAACACCTCTTTTGAGGTACAATTGCACGTTATGGACAGAAAGAGATCAAACGTGCAGGACCACTCGGTTGTACGCACAGTCCATGTACGCGCTGATGCAATCCTCTCAATTCTTCTCGGGCCGTAGCCACGGGTCCCTCCTCCAACAGCGATCACCAGACCCTACCCCGAAGACCGTTCAGGCCGTTGAAATTTCCTTCGAGCACACAAGCCTAAAGAACGTCACCGGAACCCGTGGGAGACGACCACTGACGCGTCCACCCAAAATAGGCCTCGCAAGTCGCGCACCGAGATTCGATGTCTCACGTGAGATCTTTGCTGCTGTGCGTCGATCTCGTCCGTGATTGGACCGCGAGCGCCACAATCTTGTTCGCGTCGCGTTTCGTCGGGCCAATTTGGCCGTTGGAGAAGCCGATGACAGCCGGCCCTGGGGTCAAGACAGAGCAAGTCTAGAGTAGCACGTTGGACAAGGCATCGGATTCGTGGCCGGATCGGGGAATTCCCCGAACGTGCACGGCGCGTGAAACCAGTATGAACTCGCGTCCAGTGTCAATCAATTGAGAGAAAAAAAAATAAAAATAAGGTCCACGCGGGGCTCGAACCCGCAACCCTCAGCTCGCCCCTAGCTTTGCGTGAAAGTAGAAGGCTGATACGCTACCATTGCGCCAGTAGACCCAAGTATCGCCGTTTCGACTGTTTTGTGTGTCTATAACCGGGTGCACCTACCACTCTCGCTCCTCCGCTTCCGTCTCCACCGCTACGTCGCCTAACATGGTGTCTGCGGAGGAACACGCGCAGGTGCTCGCCGAGGAGCTCGAGGTCCTCGAGAGCATCTACACCGAAGAATTGGAGAGTGCGTATAGAAGCATGGAACTCACGCCGCAGAGGTCACACCAGAGCAGCTCCGCATCCGGATCGTCCCCGAAGACTACGAAGAGGGAAAAGTTTGTACGTGTGCACACTCCGCTACCGTGCTAACCAGATCCGGTACTGAGCCTTGAAGTGAGGTACACCCCAGATTACCCGGATGCCGTGCCGGAAATGGCGGTGCGCGTCATCGAGGACGCGAATGAGGCACTCGGCGCCGCGCCGAGTGAAGAAGATGCCGAGGCGTCTACGGACGCGGACGCCTCGGCGCCGCTCGTAAGCGATGCACGTGCGGGCGTTCAGCAGCTGCGCGCCGAGCTCGATCAAGTGGTACGTGCGCGGTTGCAATCTAATGCCAGGCGGAAGATTCGCTCGGGATGCCCATGGTCTTTACGCTCGCGTCGCACCTGCGCGAGTCGCTCACGACCTACCTGCAGAACGAGGCCAAGGCGGCCGAGGAGCGCGCGAGTCGGCAGCGCGATGCCGAGATCGCCGCCGAGGAGGAGAAATTCCGCGGCACGGCCGTCACTGCCGAGCGGTTCCTGGCCTGGCGCGTGCGCTTTATGCAGGAGCAGCAGGCGCGGCGCGACAAGGCCGAGGCGGAGAAGATGGCGGCGATGTCGAACAAGGAGCGCGAGGAGTACAAGCGCTACAAACAAAAGCCCACGGGGCGCGAGCTCTTTTCCAAGCAGGGCACGGTCGAGGAGGAGAAGGACGCCGACGACTCGGTCAAGGAGGTCGACTGGAGCTTGTACGACCGCGCGGCCCGCGAGCAGCAGGCGCGCGACACGCTTGCCGACGAGGAGGAACAAGAGGGGCTCGTGCCGAACGATTCCGACGAGGAGTAGTCGCTATACCCGGGCATGTCCCTCTGGTGCGGTCTGCAGCGCGGCGTGCGCGTCAGAGAGGTACGCAAGCGCCGCGCCAATGCGGCGGTCGCGGCCCTGGCGCAGTGCCGCGTCCGCATCTGCGACCGGCGCGTCGTCGGCCTCGGGCGCGTCCGCCGCGGGCGCCGCCTCGTTCGGCGCCTCGTCCCCTGCCGGCTCGTCCGGCGGCCCAAAGTGCACCGCGTGTGCCATCTGGTCTAGGAAACACGTAGAGGGCAAGCGGTGCTGCAAAATCATCTGTGCGACCATCGCCTCACACGCCGGCTCCGGCAGGCCGACGAGCGCCGCGAGGCTGTCGAGCGTGATGGTGTCGTAGACGCGCGACGCCGCATCGATGTTGTGCTCCACCATCGCGGCGTCGAGCAGGCGCAGCTCGCTGTCCGGGGCACGCGCAAGCTGGTGCGGCGCGAGGTGCGCGGCAATGTGCGCCACGAGAGGCGCACGTACGAGGCGCCGCGCCGCGACCTGCTGCAGCGCCGCGCCGTGCGGCAGTGCCGACGTGCGTGGGTCGCGCTGCAGCTGGGCGAGGAGGCGACTGCGCTGCGCGCTGATCGGCGCAAGCAGAGCCGCAGCGACCGCCTTGCTGAGCAGCGTGGTCTGCTGCGTGTCGTCGAGCGACGGTGTGATGCTCAGCTCGTAGAAGCGGAGCGCTGCGTCGGTGAAGCGCAGCTGCCGGTCGTACAGCTCCGCCTGGCTGGGGCGGAACGCGAGGAGCACGGAAGCGAGTGCCTCTTGCTCGCTGCTGCGCTGCACCGAGTGTGCGAGCGCGCTGGCGCGCTTGTGGTACAGGTCGGCATCCGCCAGGGCGTCGCACTGCAGACACAGCCGCAGCAGGCGCACATTCAGCTCGAACGCGTGCGCGTCCGAGCGGCTGCGGCGCCCCGCATCGGGCGTGCTGTCCTGCAGCACACGCATCGCATCTGCCCACCGGTGCTGCGCCTCGAGCACGTCGGCGGCCAGGATGCGCACGTCGGTGAGCTCGTCGTCGAGCGCGACGGTCTGCTCGCCCGTGGATGCGAGGATGTGCTCGAGCACAGCGAGGTACGCATCGTCGTCCTTACTGCCTGGCGCGCGCAAGTGTGCGTCCCGTACACGTGTGCACAGCGCCGCGAGGCTGCGGCGCGCGACGATCAGCCCCGCACCGACGAGGTTGGTGCGGTCGAGGACGGCGGCGTTGACGTACGCCGTGAGCGCGGCACGCAGCTCGTCGCCATGCAGGCGCAGTGCGTCGTCGAGGATACGTTCGTACGCGTCGCCGCGCTCGTTGACCGCCGCGATCTGCGCGGCGTCCGCGAGGCGCGCGTCGAGCGTCGTCATAGCGTCGAAGCCCACCCCACCTCCACTTCGGCCGACGATGCGCTGGGACGACGCGGCGGGGCTCGGCGAGGGCGCCGCGCTGCGGGGTATGTGTGCGAGACTGACGCAGGCTGGCCGCTCGTACACCGTCTTATGTATGTGGCGCAGCATGCGCCCGAGGCACAGCAGGACGCGGCGCTGCGGGCCGCGCGTGTGCTGCAGGAACAGACGGCGGCCGTCGACGCCTACCGTGCGGCGATGGCGCTGGCCGACGCGCCGGTCGACGAGGCGTGGATCGACGCGACGCACACACAAACCGCGCAGGACCGCGAAAAGCTCGTGGGCGAGCTGCGCATGTACCAAAACAACGTGATCCACGAGAGCATCCGCATGGCACACCAGGACCTCGGCGACCACTTCCGGCACACGGGCGAGCTCGATGAGGCGCTCGCACACTACGAAAAGATGCGCGAGTACTGCACCACAAACGAGCATGCGCTCGAGATGTACATGCGCGCAATGCAGGTCGCGTGGGATCTACAGCAGTATGCTACGGTGCTCGCCTACGCCGACAAGGCCGACGCGGTGCTGGCGACGCTCGCCGACGTCCACGTCGCGCTGCCCGGCCAGACGGAGGTGTGGCGCGCCGCGCTCGCGCAGGGAAACACGGGCTCGAATGCGATCCGCGCACTCTTCCAGACCGGCAGCCAGACGGGCGGCAACGTATCGGAGCGCCCGCCCGCCGCACCGTCGACCGGCTTCCAGTCGGCGCGCGACGCATGGCAGGGCGCAAGCACGTCGCATGCCGACTTTGTCGCGCGCGTACACGCGTTCCGTACGCTGGCGCAGTGGGCACAGGCCGACAAACGCGCGCCGCTGCCGGACGTCGACCTCGACGCCGCGCACGCCGACGCGTACGCCGACGTGGTGCCCGTGTCGCAGCTCGCATGGTACGCGGTGCTTGCGGCGCTCAGTGCGCCGCCGCACTCGCAGCGCGCGCGTGCCGAATCGCTCGCGGCGAGCGCTGCGTTCCGCGCAGCCGCCGAGGCCGAGCCCGCGCCGCGCGACGTGCTCGTTGCGTACCTCGCGTCCGACTTTGCCAAGACGCGCGAGCTCGTTGCGCGGCACGCGCCGGCGCTGCGTCTCGACCCGGTGATTGGCGACGCGGCGCCGGCGCTGCTCGACGCGCTCGAGGCGCGCCTCCTTGCGCGCTACCTCACCGCGTTCCGGCGCACGACGCTCCCGGCGCTCGGTGCCGCGTTTGCGCGCGAGCCCGCCGAGATCGCTGCGCAGCTCGTCACGCTCGTGGCCGCCGGCGACCTCCGCGCGCGCCTCGACTGGCAGCGACAGACGGTGGAGGTGGAGGCACCGGAGGACGCCGCGGGGGGCCCCGACGCGCTTGGTGCCGCAGTGCGCCAGGCGAGTGCCCTGCGCGCGCGCATTGCGCTCACGCAGCAGCTGCAGCAGGCCAAGTACGTGCGAACAGAAAGACTGACACAGTATCGTGGTCCGCCGGTAGCTAGCGCGGCAGTCCGCCGTCCGTAGGCACATGACTCCAGATCGACGGCACGGGCGCACCGACCGCCGCGGGCGCCGCAGGCGCCCCGCCGGGCAGGGCGCCGCCAAACAGCAGTGGCGGTGGCGCAGGCGGCGCGGCCGGCGGCGCGCTGCCCCACGGCCACGACGGCGACCACGGCGTGGAGGCCGGGACGACGGCAGGCGCCGCGCCGCCGGTGCTTGGGCGCGGCGCCCCGGGCGCCGCGCTGACGGGCGTCAGCGCACTTGGCTCCGGGCAGTCGCGCTGCGTGTCCATCGCGTGCATCGCCATCGCGACGGGGTCGTCGACCTCGTCCGCGGCCGCGTACACCGCCTGGCCGTCGCGCGTGTGCGTCTGCAGACGCCCGTGCGCCGCCAGTGCCTCGGCGTCCGCACGCAGGTCTGCACACCGCGCCGCGTCCTCCGACACGCCGTGCACGCCGTGCGCCGGCTGCATCGCAGCACGCAGCGGCTCGAGCGCACCGAGGTCCGCGTCCTCGGGCAGGTGCCGCACCGCGCCGTGCGTGTCGTACGGAAGCAGGTTGATGGCGTCCGCGTACGTCGCCCACAGCGCGTGCACGCGCCCCGGCACACTGGCGTACACGGCGGCGATGCGCGCACGCCCGTCCGTGTCGAGCGTGCCAAGGTGCAGCGCGTGCAGCTGCGCCTGCGCCACGGCGCTCTGGGCGACGCACGCGTCGAGCACCGCGGCCTGTGCGCGCATCCACTTGCTGGCGATGCGCAGCGCAGGCAGGAGGCGCGCAAGGCCCGTGCGCCGCTCGGTGCCGAGCTCGTGCCGCGCGAGCGCCCACAGCGCCGCGAGCAGGCCGACGAGATGTAGCGTGCGCAGCGTTTGTGCGGCCGTGTCGACGAGGCGCGCCGCGTCGGTATGCGCCACGGCGCCGGTGCTGAGCGGCGCGCGTGTGCGCCGTGCCTCGTGCGCGGGCGCCTCGGCGCCGAGCCACACGGCGCACTGCGCCGACACCACGAGCCGCAGATAGTCGGCGGCGCGCAGGCGCTGCGTCTCGGCGAGGGTCAAGAGGTGCCGCGTAAGCGCGTCGCTGACAAGCGCCGCACAGTCGAGCTCGG